GGTCTGGGACGCGAACTGCGGTCGACTACGTGGGAGTCCAGTGACATAGCCATTACGCTAACTGCTGGTTCCCAGCCTGGTGTGAGTTTTAAGCCACCGGGTCTGGGACGTGAACCGCGGTTGACTAAGTGGGAGTCCAGTGACATAGCCATTATGCTAACTGCTGGTTCCCATATATATGTATATATTTTTTAGAGAGGTTTTTGCCACAGTTCTGGAAAATTTTTTTAAAAGAATTATTTATTTGGGGACCAGCAGATGCATGGTAGTTAGGGTGGCTGAATTCTCACATAGATGACTGAGGTCCAAGTCCCCAAGGCGTGAGTGCTAGTGTGGGCAGGATCCCAAGAGGAGAGTGGAGGAGAAGGGATTGCGGTGTAGCCATCCTCCTAGGAGATGATTTCTGTCTCTCTGTCTTTCTGGCGAGCACATGCGCCTTATAACAAAAACCTCTCCAAAAAATATAAATAAATTTTAAAAGAATTATTTATTTATTATTATTTTAAAAATTTGCTACAGGGCATGTGCACTCACCAGAAAGTGACAGAGAGAGAATGAGAAGGTAAGAAAGTAAGCTACCAGATCTGGGACTCAAACCATGGTCAGTCATATGGTAAGTCCATGCTACCTGCTAGCTCCATGAAATATTTCTTCTCTCTCTTTTTTTTTTTTTTTTTTGAGAGAGATTTTCACTGTAGGGCGCGTGCGCTCGCCAGACAGACAGAGAGAGACATAGAGATAGAAAGCGAGAAATCACCCCCCAGGGGGGATGGTCACGCCGCAATCCCCTCTCCTCCATTCTCCTTTCGGGATCTTGGGCACGCATGCACATGCGCCCGGCGTGAGTTTTTTAAGCCACCGAGTCCGGGACACGAACCGTGGTCGACTATGTGGGAATCCAGCGACATAGCCATTACGCTAACTGCTGGTTCCCTCTTTTTTTTTTTTTTTTTTAAGAGATTTTCTTTGCTATAGGTGTGTGCACTCACCGGAGACAGAGAGAGAGACAGAGAGAAAGTGAGAAAGGACTTCCTAGGGTGATGGCCATGATGCAATTCCTTCTCCTCCATTCTCCTCTTAGGATTTTAGGTACACATGCACATGCACCCAGTGTGAGTTTCAAGCCATGAGGTTCAGGATTCAAATTGCAGTCGACTATGTGTAAGTTCAGTGCTTTAACCATTATGCCACCTGCTGACCTTTCTGTGAAATATTTCTATAATGCAGTTTTATTATATAAATTCATTACCTTCAATATCTGAAACTATCAGCATCTGAGGTTGAGCGAGACCTTCCTGAAGACTGTAGAAATGTATTGTACTGTCAAATGTTATAAAGCCAATTTTTGTTCTTGTGTTGCCAGGAAGTCTAAAAACAAATTCAGAAGAGTACTTGTATCAGGTTTCCCCATATATATAAATACATAAAATATCTGCTTAGAGTAACATGGAAATAGCTCATTTAGCATTATAAAGAACGGCCAAACATAAATAAATATTTAAACCACCTGATGTTTAACTACTGTGAAAATGTATCTTACTCAAAGGGAAAACACTATATATAAGTGAAATAATTTTAAAAAACAACAATAATGTAACAATGGAATACCAATTATATCTACATAAAGTGGTATGATTTATATATATATATATATGTGTGTATGTGTGTGTGTATGTGTATCACACACACACATACACAGTCACATAGATAAAAATCACAGTAGATACATAATCACATAAGAAATTCAGGTTGAGTGTTCCTAATTTGAAAATCCAGGGCTAGCTCTGAGGGAACCAAATCCAAAATGGCCAGGTACATGGTTTGAATCCAGGACCCAGTAGCTTGAGAAATATGCCAGATGTATACATGTGTGCCCCAAATTCCAGCGGGATGGAGAGATGGAGAAAGGAGATTATAGGATAACCATGCCCCTTGGAGGATACTGGTCCCCCCACCCCCCCATTGTCCCTTTCCATCCCTGGCAAGCACATGGGCTCTCTGCGGGGAGGGAAAAAAAAATTTATATATGTGTGTGTGTGTATATAT